AGAGCAAATTTGTGAAATAGTTACATGTAACACCGGACGGACGACGACGGACGCCAAGTGATGGAACGGTGAACTAAAAAACTACGTCCGTTCTATCAGAAATATACTGAAAATGAAAAATAAACAACTTGTTCCCTCGAGAGCGCTAACGAGGCCACTTTCCATAAATTTAATATTTTTAGGGTAATAACTCTTAAGAAAGTCGATTGGCCACCAATATATAACTTGTTTGAGATGTTGCTTATCCTAAAGTATTAGTTTCGTAAAAATCTGACAAGATTTGTACATGTGAGAGCGCTGCAAGGACCGGACAGACAGACAGACAGACAGACACACGGACAGCCAGATGGACACAAGGACGGAAGGCAATCAAAATTTTAAGCAGACCATGTTTAAGTTTAAAATTTTAAGTTCTAATATTGATTATTATTTTTTGCCAAAACAAACTATTTTTAAAATAACAAAAATAAAACAAAAACAACAATAAATCGGTCTTTTGTCTTAAATCAGTGGTTTTGATAAGAAAATAACACTCTGTAAAAATTAGACTAATGGGACAGTTATTAAGTTTGGTACAGTGTTCGAATTTCATTATATATGGAAAATTTAATACATTGCCTTGTACCGTTTCTTTTGTTGACTAGTATACTATTGCGCAGAGTCAGATTATGTACACATAATGGCTGTTACTATTTACCTCCCATGTAATTCGACATGTATCGAAACCTTTATGCAAACACTTATTTGTCACTATGTCGATTTAACTGTGTCAAAATTGAAATTTAAGAAGAACTACAGAACCGTTCTTTCTATTCTAATATATAATGAATTTAACTTATGCAAAAGAGCTTGAAATAAATGAGGTATGTGTCCATTGGAAACAGATGATGCTACCGCTTGCATATCATAAAAGTTATAAACGGACATAACTGAAGAACGGTAAAAGTGACACTAACCAAATGTGTACTTTATGTAAGTTTTTTGGTCATAAGAATTATGTAAAAGTTTCATAACATTTGGTTGAGGCAAACTAAAGAAAGAAAAAAGAAACGAAAAATTCAGCAACTTTTTCCCTTTGTAAAGAGGCATGGCTCTAGAACAGTAAAAGTGACACCACCAAAATTCAAACTTGATCTGTATTTGGTAGTTTTAAGCATTGTGTATAATTTAAGTAACATTTGGTAAAGACAAACTAAAGTTAGAGAACGGAAACGAAAAATACAGCAATACTTCTATTTGTAAAAGGGCATAACTCTAGAACGGTTAAAGTGACACCACCAAAATTCAAACTTGGTCTGTGTTTTTGTGGTAATAGGCAATGTGAATAAAGTTTCATAACATTTGGTTGAGGCAAACTAAAGTTAGAGAACAGAAACCAACTTTATGACGTACAATGGTAAACCTTAATGCCCCCTCCGCCACGGCAGGGGCATACAAATGTGTAAATATAACAATTGATAAAATTGAGCAAAATTCCATGAATGATCTTTGCACATGGTGGTCCTAAGGTTTTGAGAATCAAAACAGTATATACTAGTTAGGACCAGCAACTTTTCCTCAAGGCCCACAAGGAGAATATGTTTTGAGAACTATAAAGATGCGATAACTCTGCCTTATACAAATAATAATTCAGTTAGGTTATTTAAAAAAAATGATAGACAAGCTGTCCTTTTCCATCATATACCATACAAACATTGACAAAGTCTTGCACAGTTTAAGATAGATCGTTGGTATATATTTCCTCAGATAGAACACGTAGAATTTGTATGCCCCCACCGTAGCGAAGGGGGCATTAAGTTGTACCCTTGTTCGTAAATACGTCCGTTCTAGAGTAATACACCTTTACAAATGGAAAACTTGCTGACTTTTTTGTTTCCATTCTCTAACTTAAGTTAGCCACAACCAAAAGTTTTGAAACTTATACACAATGCTTATTACCATAAAATACAGATCTAGTTTGAATTTTTTTGGTGTCACTTGTACTGTTGATGAGTTATGCCCCTTTAGAAATGGAAAAATTGCTGAATTTTTCGTTTCCGTTCTCTCTCTTTCGTCTGTCTAACAGTTCATCTTACCCTGACCTCATTTTCTTAGAACATTGATAATGTTAAGTTAATATAATACTTATATTAAAATCTTTATATAACAGAGTTTCAAAAGTAATTCATTGATAAATAAAACCAACCAGACATTTCAGGGTGTGCATTCTTGTTTAGCAGATCTTAGTCTAGGGCAATTCTTTTTTTAAATTGTTCATTAAGATTTGTTTTAAAGACAATCATGTTATACTCATTGTTGAAGGCTGTACGATGACCTGTGGTTGTTCATTTCTATGTCATTTGGTCTCTTGCGGAGAGTTGTCTCATTGGCAATTACAACACATCCTCTTATTTTTATGCACAGACTTAAATGTTTTTGGAGTTCAATATTATTCTTTTTCACTAACAGCATCAATCCTAGGCACGACAACGGGTTATGCATATTACCATTTTTTTCAAACTTCTCAGAAATCTTACACATAACTATAGAAGTAATGTTATGCTTATGCTTAGTTCACATGTAAACACAATAAGATTCCACATTTTTTTCAACAAATTTTATAATTTTGAAAAAATTGATTTTTTTTTCCAAAAAAGGGGGGGGGGGGGGGTGCACCATACCCAGAGTGATGAGTTTTCGTTTTGTACAAATATATCTTCATTAATCATATATTCTAGTTTAAAATTAAAAATTGTGTGTCAGAATTGCACATATAAATGGAATATTTTAGCTTTTTAAGTTCAAAATGTTTGATTATTCATCTGTTTGGTAATCTGAATTTTGGCGAAAATTGACAATTTTTTACTAAAATTATTTTTTTAAAGAAAAAAAACCCCACGACTTTCTTTTTATTTTATGAATATATAGAATGTTGACTTTCAAAATTTGTCACTGACATGTAATTGTATTGTTGGTCTTGGGAGATAAACAGATTTAAAATTTAGGAGTTTTTGAAATTTCTCATTTTCGAATTTTAACACATTTTCAAATGGTTGCTATGGAAACAAACTAAGTAGTAAATTCAAAATGTTAACGTTTTTGTATAGTCTGGGGTTTTCTTTGTCAATACTGTAAATATACTTATTGTTTGTATTGATTAACTTTATTTCAATGGTTCTTTAAAATCCCTTATATTTCAATTGTCAAAGGCTACTTTTGTACGTATTTTTGCAAAATTTGTAAGGATGGTTTCCATGGCAACCAAGGTTCAAAAGAAAAAAATTAATATATGAAACTTATTTTCATACCATACCTTCTTCATAAACAAAATATAAAGACATTTGAAGAGGGGTCATGAATCGCCCATCAACAGGAACCTGCATGATTCTTACAAAGACAGGTACTTAACATCGTTAGATAGTGCATAATAATATGAAATGAACATACAAAATATTTTCTGATGGAAATACAGTTTTTGATTTGGCATCATACAGGGTCAGACAGGTTGGCTGCTTCAACTGTTTTCATTCATCAATTTTTGAACAATTCAACCCATGCTTTTCAAATTTTATTTGTTTTTTGTTGTTACTGAAGAAAAAATGGTGGAAAAGTTCGATTTTTAAGATTTTTACTTTTGTCATTCAGGAGTTATGATCCTTGATTGATTGGAAATCCCACTTCACGTCCTTTTCGTGCAATATCTTATAAAACCTTCAATAAAATTGCTTTTAACATTTTAATATGTTGTAACTGATGACAAAATTGAGGTCAAGTTTGATATTGACGATTTCACTTTTGCCGTTCAGTAGATATGGCCCTTAATTGTTTTAACAATGACACTAATAGAGGTAATAAAAACCTGGTTTGCTGTCTCTTTGACAGATGTTTTTTTATGTTCCTTTTGTTATTCCATTGATTGAAAAGCACAATGAAGAACAATTTAAAATGTTATCACAATGGGCAACATAAAGTGTTCTTATACCACAACGAAGAACAATTAATAATGTTATCACAAAGAGCAACATATAGTGTTCTTATAGCACAATAAAGAAAAATTAATAATGTTATCACAAAGGGCAACATATAATGTTCTTGTAGCACAATAAAGAACAATCAGGAACAATTGATAATGTTATCACAAAGGACAAAATATAGTGTTCTAATAGCACAATAAAGAACAATGAAGAAAAATTAATAATGTTAAAACAAAGGACAACATATAGTGTTCTTATAGCACAATGAAGAACAACTAATTATGTTATCACAAAGAGCAACGTAGTGTTCTTATAGCCCAATAAAAAACAACAAAGAACAATAAAAAATTTTATCACAAAGGGCAACACATAGTGTTCTTATAGCACAATGAAGAACAATTAACAATGTTTAAACAAAGGGCAACATATAGTGTTCTTATAGCACAATAAAGAACAATCAGAAATAATTAATTATGTTTTCACAAAGGGGAACACATAGTGTTCTTATAGCACAATAAAGAACAATAAAGATCAATTAATAATGTTAACACAAAGGTCAACATATAGTGTTGTTACCCTGGCTTACAATAGATGATCAACTTAGAATGTGATGTCATCGTCACCATGGCTTACAATAGATGATCAACTTAGAATGTGATGTCATCGTCACCCTGGCTTACAATAGATTATCGACTTAGAATGTGATGTCATTGTCACTCTGGCTTACAAAAGATGATCAACTTAGAATGTGATGTCATTGTCACCCTTGCTTACAATAGATTTCAACTTAGAATGTCACACATATATGATTTGACATAAACAGTCAATATTTCAATACAATAAAGCAATCCAAATACATGTGTTTTGATTTTTTGTATTGGTGGGTTACTGCTGAATTGATGTTTACCTTTTCTCCATGCATGATTGTTCTAAAAATTAAAAATTGGATATCAATGCATTTTAACTCTGTTATTGTATCCATCCCTGGTTTGTAAAGAGTGACATTAAATTTAATTTTTTGTTCGAATCTTTTTTTTTTTATTTCAGTTTGTTTTTACAGTATGTGGATTATGGTGTTATTCAGCTAACTGGAGAATTTTTAGCAAGGGTGTTAGCAGGTGATTTGAATTTTGGTTAAGGTTGTTTAAATGATGCTGTTATATCAAATTAAGTTTAAATTAAAATGATCTGATCCTTGAAAACTATGTCAACTGTGAAACAACAAATTTTTGATTCATTTTTATTGCTGATACAGGTCTAACCATTCTTTGAGACTGTTAAATTCCACTTGGAGGCCTTTATTTAAAGGCAGTTCTAAGAAACTCTTCAAAGTTCATGGAGCTACCACATGCATTTGTCAGCAGTATGTGTTCATTTTTTGTATGTCTTGAAAAATCATAGAAATTGGTGTTTAAAAAGCATAAAATTTAGCCTGAATAATCCCACGGTTGTCTAGTTTCAGAATTAAATCCAGTGAACCAACAATTTCAATATTATTATAGATAAAACAAACAAGGTAAAAATACCAATTTTGATTATGCTCCATGCAATTATTTAGCCAATGGAGACCTTATATGAGAGGATTTGTCAAAAATAGTCTTATTTAAGAAATTTGTTGGATTACTCCCATTGTTCAACCAAAAGTTAACAATTTATATCTATAGGATTTTCAAGGATTTTTATAAAAAAATCTGCTCAGTTTATTGATTTTTCATTCTTGTTTTCTTTTTGATAAGAATGTTGCTGATATGGTTTGTTTTCAAATTTTTAAACCCTGACCCTTTTTTAGCTCACTTGGCATCCATCGTCCGTCGTTGTTGTCGTCCTTCGTCGTCGTTAACTTTCTTCTAGAAAACCACTGAATGGAATGAAACCAAACATGGCATGAAGGTTCCTTATGAGGTGCTGACCAAGTGTTGTTACTTTGAAGCCGATCCATCATCCAAAATGGCCGCCAGTGGGGGACTTAGTTTAACATAGGACCCTATGGGAAATACATACAAATGTCTTCTTTTAGAGAACCACTGAATGGAATGAAACCAAACATGGTATGAATGTTCCTTATGAGGTGCTGACCAAGTGTTGTTACTTTGAAGCCGATCCATCATCCAAGATGGCCACCAGCAGGGGACTTAGTTTAACATAGGACCCTATGGGAAATACATACAAATGTCTTCTTTTAGAGAACCACTGAATGGAATGAAACCAAACATGGCATGAATGTTCCTTATGAGGTGCTGACTAAGTGTTGTTACTTTGAAGCCGATCTATAATCCAAGATGGCCGCCAGCGGGGGACTTAGTTTAACATAGGACCCTATGGGAAATACATACAAATGTCTTCTTTTAGAGAACCACTGAATGAAATGAAAACAAACATGGCATGAATGTTCCTTATGAAGTGCTGATCAAGTGTTGTTACTTTGAAGCCATCACATCCAAGATGGCCGCCAGCGGGGGACAATGTTTAACAAAGGACCCTATCGACAATACATACAAATGTCTTGAATGTTCCTTATGAGGTGCTGACTTAGTGTTGTTACTATACGCTTATCCTTCATCCACGATGGCCGCCAGTAGGGGGACTTCCTTTAACATAAGACCCTATGAGGTGCACTGAATGGAATGAAACCAAACATGGCATGAATGTTTCTTATGAGGTGCTGATGAAGCTGTTCAAGATGGCCACCAGGATTTTTTATTAAATTACAGGGCCAATATTAAACCAAATTTGGCCTCACTCATTATTAGGGTATCTGTTATGATTTTAATCTATTTTTACATGATTTCCAAAACCAAAGTAGAGTCAGGTGAGCGACACAGGCTCTTGAGAGCCTCTAGTTATAATCCATTGTAACTAACATAGTGCACCAACAACTTAAATATATCTAATTGACAAAGGAGAAGGTCAAATTTGTCACGGAATAAACTGTATATTTTCAAAGCAATTATATAACATACACCAATTTGCAGAATTAATAGTTGAATGATCATTGTACTTTGATAATACATTGCAGTATGGGATTAAATTATTCCTTTAGATGGGGTATATTAGTCATTTAATTGACAGTACTTTCATTTAAATTGCAAAATTACATTAAATCATTATTGTTTTCCTTAAAACAAGTTGAGGAATAATAATTGACACTAAAAGTTGTTCTGAAGTTTTAAAAAATCGGATTAATAATTATATTACCAGAGTACAATTTTTTTTATTTCCAGACACAAATAAGGCTGAAAATTTACCTTCTCCTTAATAGATTTAAAACTAAACTAGGTTGGTTATAGAAAAAATCATATATTTGAATTTTTGTTGAAGACATAAAAGACACAGAAGAAGGTGTAACGACAAAACATCAGTTAATATCTAGATTACCAAAGGTAAGATAATTAAGAGTTAAGTCTTTAATGTTATACTCTATACTCATTGTAACATGGGTAGGCATTATATTTGTCTATCTCTACCGTATACATCATAACAGCTGCAGAATGCAAGACATGTAGAAGACCTGGATGCTTCATACCATGTTTACAGATGCCTTATGTTCTGAAGTTTCTGTCTGTCAAATGTTCATTGTCCTTAACCTCATTTTGAAGGATCAGTGATTGCTTAAAAAAAAATTGTTTAGGTTTCTTTTGTTACATGAGTTTCTCATTTATGAGTAATAGGATAACTATATCCATATCCTTGCAAGGTATACATGTCTGTCAAACAGGATTCACCTAACCTTGGAACTTATTTCATGAATCAGTAATCAAGGTTAAGTTTTTAGCTCACCTAGGTGAGCTTTTCTCATCACTTGACGTCCGTCATCTGTTGTCGTCGTCATCTGTTACAAAAATCTTCTTCTCTGAATCTACTGGGCCAAATTTAACAAAACTTGGCTACAATCATCATTAGGGTATCTAGTTTAAAGAATGTGTCCGATGACCCTGCTTGCCAACCAACATGGCCGCCATGGCTAAAAATAAAACATAGGGGTAAAATGCAAGTTTCATATATTATCCAGAAAACCGCTATAAATAGAGAATCTGACAGAGGCAAAAACTTTCAAAATGTTAAGATGTACCTATTGTCTATATACATAAAAAAGATTGACAGAAACTTAAATGATCAACAAGACAAGATCTACAAATAAGTAACATGACAGAAATTCATTAGTTGACTCCTTATTGAAGTTACTGCCCTTTAATGACGATTTTCCCCATTTTTTTTCATTATTGCCTATTATCTTGAAAAGTATTATAGATAGATAGTAACTTTAAAAAGCAAATAAGATCAGCAAGACAAGATCAACAAATAAGCCAATATGGATGAAATCTTCAGTCAGCTCCTTATTTACCGTTTTTTTTGCATTTTTTGCCTACGGGTATTATCTTGAAAACTTTAATAGATAAATAGAAACTTCAAAAAGCAAAATTATCAGCAGGATAAGATCTACAAATACATCATGATGACTGAAATTGTCATTTAACTCTTAATAACAGGCTATTATTTCAACTTGGAATTTTTTTCAATTATGGAATTTGCATAATTTCTTGTGCTTGAAATTTTTAATAAATTCCATGTTTATTCTCTATTTTAATGTTCTGTGCGGTGCACAACACTACCTATTACAAAGAAGATAGCACATTTTTAATAGAATGTACTGTGCCGCGCACAACACTATCTTTACAAAATACATTGTATGGAAAGTGTTATGCACCACTTAAAACATTATAATACAGAATAAACATGGAATTTATTAAAAATTTCAAGCACAAGAAATTGTGCGGGGCACAACACTACCTATTACAAAGAAGATAGCACATTTTCAATAGAATGTACTGTGCCGCGCACAACACTATCTTTACAAAATACATTGTATGGAAAGGAGGCAAGACATTTCAGTGTGTGCACTTTGGTTTAATATTTATTAAATATTTTGATATGTGTTGACAAACATTGTGGTAATGATGGCGCATAATTGCCTGTGAAATTTATTGGAACATTATATTTTTGTCTTAAAACTATTCATTAAGTTGGAAACAAAATTAGCAGACATTATGGCTTTTTGACTGATGATCTGATGGTCAACATTTGTCATCACTTGGTGTCTTTTTTTCTTGAACTATTTTTTCTCTCTGACTATTATCTGGCCAATATTATTCAGACTTTGTGAGAATGATATAATGAAGGTCTTCTTCATATTATTATGTTATACCATTATGTTAGGTCCTTAATAATGCTAAAAAAAAAGAATTGATAGGAGACTGATGTCTTTTGCCTAGGTCAGGACTTTCAATATTATCCTTACTAGAGCCTCTAGTTTTATCATTCACTGACCATGAATTACTCTTACTTTATTTATTTTAGAGTTTTATGGAGGAGTGTTATAGACAGTGGAATCATCCTACCTGCCAGCATTACTTGGCCTGTAAACAGGTGGCTTCTAGGTTGACAGGTAATTATTTTTTTACATTCTAGTAGTTGCTAGAAATTAACAAATCATTCTTATAACAATAACTCATTTTTAGCTCACCTGGCCCTTGGGCCAAGTGAGCTTTTCTCATCACTTGGCGTCCGTCGTCGTCATCGGCGTCTTCGTCCGTCGTTGATAGCTTTTTACAAAAATCTTCTCCTCTGAAACCACTGGGCCAAATTTAACCAAACTTGGCCACAATCATCATTAGGGTATCTAGTTTAAAAAATGTGTCAGATGACCCCGCCAACCAACCAAGATGGCCGCCATGGCTAAAAATATAACATAGGGTTAAAATGTAGATTTTGGCTTATATCTCTGAAACCAAAGCATTTAGAGTAAATCTGACAAAGGGTAAAACTGATTATCAGGATAAGATCTATCTGCCCTGAAATTTTCAGACAAATCTGACAACCTGTTGTTGGGTTGCTGCCCCTGAATTGGTAATTTTAAGGAAATTTTGCAGTAATTGGTTATTATCTTGAATATTATTATAGATAGAGATAAACTGTAAACAGCAATAATGTTCAGCAAAGTAAGATCTACAAATAAGTTGTCATGACCAAAATTGTCAGTCGACCCCTTTAGGAGTTATTGCCCTTAATAGTCAATTTTTAACAATTTTTCGTAAATTTTTGTAATCTTTTACAAAAATCTTCTTCTCTGAAACTACTGAGACAAATTTAACCATACTTGGCCATAATCATTATTAGGGTATTTTGTGGGATGACCCCGCCTTCCAACCATCATGGCCAACTTGGTTAAAAATAGAACATAGGGGTAAAATGCAGTTTTTAGTTTATATCTCTGAAACTAAAGCATTTAGAGCAAATCTGACAGGTGGCAATAATGTTCATCAGATTTAGATTTATCTGCCCTGAAATTTTCAGACGAATCCGACAACCCGTTGTTGGGTTGCTGCCCCTGAGTTAGTAATTTTACAAAAATTTTGCAGTTTTTTGTTATTATCATAGATATCATTATAATATCTAATATCTAATACTGTTAATTATGATTTAACCTTATTTTACATGATTTCCAAAGCATCAGTAAATACAGGTGAGCAACACAGGCTCTTGAGAGCCTCTAGTTAGCTTTTCCCATCACTTGACGTCCATCGTCTGTTGTTCATTAACTTTTACAAAGAATATCTCATGTGAAACTACTGGGCCAAATTTAACCAAACTTTACACAATTATCAATGGGGTATCTAGTTTAAAAATGTGTCCAATGACCCAGTCTGCCGCCAAACATGGTTGATGTGGCTAAAAAAAAATTTAGGGGTCAAATGCAATTGTTGTCTATTATCTTGAAAACCTCTATAGATGAAGAAAATCTGACATGAAAAAATGTTAAGAATGATGAGATCTACCTAATTACTAATTACATCAAAACTGTCAGATGACTTCTTATAGGAGTTATTGCCCTTAAACAGCCAATTTTACAAATTTATTTTCATTTTTGCCTATTATCTTATTAATGATCAAAAAGTCAAGATCTACAATCTAGTCAAATGGTCCAACCTTATTGGAGTTATTACCTTTTAATGACGATTTTTATCATTTTTTGGCGTTTTTGCCATATATCTGAAAAACTATAATAGATAGATAGAAACTTAAATAAGCAAAATTGATGAGCAAGACAGTTTCTACAAAAAAGTGTACAGTTCGAAACTGTCAGTTTACTCCTCATTGGAGTTATTGCTCTTTAATGACGATTTTTACCCAATTTTAGTGTTCTGCCTCTTATTTTGAACTATTATAGATAGATAGCCACTTTACATAGCAAAAATGATAAAACAAGACAAGATCTACAAATAAGTCAAATTAAGCAGAACACATTAGATGTCTCTTTATAGGAGTAATTGCCCTTAAATGACAAAATTTTTTTACCCTTATTTTGTGTTTTGGGCAAAAACTAAAGGAGATAGAGAGAAACTTTAAAGAGAACAAATGATCAGCAGCCGGTTGTACGAACGTGTCATTAGTCTAATGAGTCATTAAGTCTTCATTAGCCTAATGCATCATAAAGGTTTAATGAAGACTTAATGACCCATTAGGCCAATGCCACGTTCGTAAAAGTGGCTGCAGCAATGCAAGGTTTACTAAAAAAAAAAGAGATTTTTCGAATTTGGGTGGCATTACTTTTACCATTCTGGAGTTATGTCCCTTTATATATAGAAAATTTGCTGAATATTCCATTTCCATTCTCTAACTTTAGTTTGCCTCAACCAAATGTTATGAAACTTATACACAATGCTTATTACCTTAAAACACAGATCAAGTGTGAATTTGGGTGGCGTCACTTTTACAGTTCTCTAGTTATATCCCTTTATATTATAACGCGATATGCAAGCGGGGGCATCATCTGTGTCCCATTAACAGACTACATTTATTTTATAGTTATTTTTAGGTCACAGGGAAAATGACATAATAATTTAGTTGAACTTCTAAATGATAAGATTTATGAGAGGAATTACAGTCAAATTAACCAATGAATGGTTGGTTTTTCAATGAGAAATTTAAAGTTCCCATTGAATGAATTTCACAGAGTTCAATAGCTACTGCATTTATTCAATGCGACAGTTCACTTTGCAACAATTTAAATGGCCAGGTATACACCAACTGATTTTGGGGGGAAGATTTTATTTCCTTTGCAATAAGTGAAAAGTTTGCATAGGGTCAGTTTGGTGGAAACATGCCAACTACTCAACATAGCAAAAATAAGGAACAGGAAATTTTCGTAATATACAGTATTATGAATTTACGTGTATAAGTAATACATAAAAAAATCAGTTTTAAGCTGTCTTCTATGCAGTTTATTATATAGTTATGCCATTATGTATATAGAAGAAACTGTTTTGTTTTAGAATCTCACCTGCAAGGAAACAAAGAGACATTTGGAATGCTAGACCAGGATTTGTTCAGGAGAAACAGAGGTATAGTAATCCTTGAACTTTTTGAGTAATCTGGCAATATCAGACCCATGATATTGTTAGGCAAACTAAATAATTTGAACACCATTTGTTTCAAAAAGTTACTTTTCTTTTCTGCAAAGATAAATTCAAAAATTATTTAAAGAATTTGATTTTCATTAAAGAAATTATTTTTTATATGATCGGCCTGTCCATGCTAAGTTTTGAATAGTGGTTTAAGATATGAAATAAAGATGTTTCTATATCCCCATGAAATAAGGGATTGAATTCTCATCTTAAAGTTACTTTTGCTTATTTTTTTGATGATATTCTTATCTAGTTGTAATGTAATTCCTCTATATTGCTGAAGATATATAGGACATTTTTTAGTTTGCATTTTATTTGGGGCTTTATTTTCATACCACGTAAATTATAGTCAAATCATTAAAATAATCAAAAAGAAAAGTGTTGCTCTCCACCTATTGCAATTTATTCAAAGTTCTGACCAAATTGCAATGTGTTTTATAAAACCAAACTGTTCAACTGGTCAGAAATTTGAACAAACTGCTGTAGAAAACCACAGTCAAGTGGTGAAAGTGCAAGGTGATAAAATCCATACACAGTAACAGTAAAACAATGTGAATTCCTTTACATGTAAGGCTAAATGGCCATTGTCCTAAAGATATAATATTGTCATTGTTGTTTGAATTAACAAATAAACAACAGTTGATGAGTATTAGTAGATTTGCTTAATTTTATCATTCTTTAAATTATTTCACGTTTCAGTTTGATGTTAAAACCTGATCAGGTTTTATCTTGAAAGGTCAAAGTTATAACCTGTTATGTGCCAAAACAATTCAACATCTATAGAATAAGATGATATTTCCTATTATCTTTAGCAATTGTTTCAATTCTTCATAGCTTTATCTGTGATCTTTTTCCTGTAACTATACAATACATTTTGTATTATCTTCTGTTTTTACAAAGGAACTTTATTGAAAAGATATCTTTTTTGTATTTTGAATTTATGATAAATAACTGAATAGTAATTGATATTTTTATACTGAAATGGGATATTATATTTTATTTATTTAGTCATAAAATGAACATAGTTTAAATAACTGATGATATTAAGAGATTTGTAAATTCATAAGTGCCAAAAAATAGCTTTAGATATGCCTTTGGTTAAAAAATAGCTGGCAGGCCTCAAAACATACTTGAGTCACGAAAAAATGACTGATGACGTCACATATAAAGAACATGTCTTTTTGCAGATCATTGAAAATGAAAGATAAAGAATGTTATATCTTGTAAAAATCTTTAGAGAAATAGATTCCACCACCAAATCTAGATCAATATGAAATATCTCCACTCTCAACATTTTAAATATTTAAAAAGCTTGGCAAGCTTTGTGTTTTGAATATGAAAATTTAACTATCTTCAGTACAGAAATAACGTATTACATTTGATGCAGTCGTAGAATCTATATTCATATTTGGTGAATTTGCAGTTCCAAATAACATGTAAATTGGTTTTTTGTCCCTCCCCCCCCCCCCCCGTAATGCGTTGCGGGGGACATGGAAATACCGGGCGTCCGTGTGTCTGTCTGTCCGTCCGGTCTTGTTAGCGCTCTCACAGGTACAATTCCTGCCAGATTTTTATGAAACTTATACTATAGGTCAATATCAGCAATATCTTGGACAAGTTGTATAATGGTGGCCGATCGACTTTTTTAAAAGAGTTATGCCCCTTGAAAATATTAAATTTATGGAAAATGGCCTCGTTAGCGCTCTCACGGGTACAATTCCTGCCAGATTTTTATAAAACTTATACTATAGGTTAATATCAGCAATATCTTGGACAAGTTTTATAATGGTGGACGATCAACTTTTTTATAAAGAGTTATGAGTCTGACCCTTGGAAATATTAAATTTATGGAAATTGGCCTCGTTAGCGCTCTCACAGGTACAATTCTTGCCAGATTTTTATAAAACTTATAGTATAAGTTAATATCAGCAATATCTCAGTCAAGTTCTATAATGGTGGACAATCGACTTTTTTTAAAAGAGTTATGACACTTGGCAATATTTAATTTATGGAAAATGGCCTCGTTAGCGCTCTCACGGGTACAATTTTTTATAAAACATATATTTTACTATAAGTTATGCTCTTGAAGGTCTGTTTGAAATATTTAGTATATGCACGCTTTTTATTTATAAATTGTTTTAAAGAACAACAAAAAAAGTGGGTTTTTTTTTAGTTATTGCCCCTGGATAGATAAAATATGTGCAATGCGGGGGACAACTTTTATTTATTTCTATTTTACAGCTGAAAGTGATACATCTAGAATTGATGTTGTGTCCTTCGCACCTCTTACATCCTTTTTGCATATGTTGGAAAAAATTGGTAAGTCTGTATCTTAATGCTCATGTTCTTAAGTTTTTATTTCATACCAAACACCCCAAATATTTACATATTTTGAAAGTTACTACTATGCTTAGGAACTATTTTGTGTGAAATATGTACTGCTTTCTTATATGTTTTTCCTGTCCAGGTCAGGATTAGTGGTTATATACCTTAAGTCTGTTGTAAAAATAAATATACTACTTAAAAAAAATTAGTAGTTTTGATTTTTTTAAGGCACAATATAAGGTTTTCATCAGTTGTTGCATCAACAATTGGATAACCTAATTTTTAGGATCTTTTACAACTTAAATATAGTCAATATATCTGTATAAAATTTCAAGAAAATTAGACATGATAACATGTTTAAAAGGTTTCAATTTTCTGTATTTTGATGGTCAACAGGACATATCTCCCATTCCCTACCACAAATATATTGGTGAACTCTAATATTGAAGTTTGTGCAAAAGTATAGAACTAGTACTTGACTGACATTATGCAGAAACTTTTCCCTGCTCAAACAATAGCATCAATTTTAATTTTGTAAAAAACCTGTTTCCTTGTTTTTGTACTTTTTGGTTTTTTATACATATTGTTTCCTTAACCTCACAAACACAACGATTAACCCTTATACTGAAATTCTAACCATGTAGATAAGGTCATTCAGGTTCATCAAAAGACTTTAGACAAAAAATTGTAATCTTTTGTGGTGTAAAGTGTAAACACAGCCATTTGAGTTATGATGAACCCCAGGACTATTAAATATCATGAAAATTCAACAGATTCAAGATAATGATATTAAAATAACAGTATGCAATATAACATATTGTAAAAACTAACCTTTGATGTTTTATTTTTTTTTGTCTGTGAAGGTTTTTTAACTTTATAATATATAATTTGAATATAGAAATTTATACATGACTTAAGGATGTACACCTCTGAGGAGCCAAAAATTTCTAGAATTAAACTTTTTTTCTTAACCTGATTTTTGGGTTTATATGACTGTAAAAAAATAATTGGTGAAGAAAAAATCATATGGTGGTGCACTTCTTATTTTGCTATGGCCCTTTGAAAGTACTTAATTTTGATGATTTTCCCATTTTTCATTAATTTTTACCTATTTTTTGGCTATTATCGTGAATAAATCGCAGTTCCACAATTAAACTTTTTTTCATACTTTCAATAAAGATGAAGTGGACCAATCTGAATAAATTTAACTTAAAAAAAACTATAGGTAGGTGTTAATATAAGAAATTTTTATCATATTTTGATGCTTTTTTGTGTCAAATTAACCATGCTGTTAATTTTGTAAATTTGTGATTTTTCTCTGTTTTAAGAACAAAATGAATATTATTTCAACTTCTTTGTTATAAATGATTGAAAAAATACATATCTAAGAAATTTGAAAAGAAAAAAGTGATATGGGATGTACATGTTTCTGGTAAAATCATTTCTTGTACCCCTCACCCATTTTCTCAAAATTTTGGCTAAAAAGACTGACTTGATTGGTAATAAAATTTGAAAAATTGATTACTCAAAAACTACTCATTGTATGTATGCAATTTTTTCACAGAGTTAAGTTTGATTATAACATTTTTTAAATTATTTGATATTTTCCACTTGTATCACGTTTTGGAAATAATTCCAGAATGAGATTTCAACAAGACTGTTACGTCAGAAGAATACATCCTTAAAAATGCTTTGCAGATAATTAATTATACCACCACAATGAAGTTTGGGGTTATATAGGAATCTGTCTGTCTGTCTATACAAGTTATATTGGATTCATAACTTGTGCAAGCTAAGAAGGATATGATGATTAAAGATACTGTGTTTCAGAGCCTGTGACTGAATGTTAGAGTTGCTTGTTACTGTACTGACTTGGTAGTTTATAAAAAAGATCTTTTTTTCACTTCAGTTGGTTTCAATTTCCATCTGTTTACACAGTGTATCACAGAAAGGTAGCCTTGAACAGTTCTGAACAACCCCCAAAATGTTTACTGGTGTTTTCTACAGTATATAGGTTACTCTTATGCTGGTAGAACTGATAGTGTCTCATTGGCAATCATACCACATCTCCTTATTTTACTATTTCTTACTATTTCAGTTTTCCATTCAAACTTACTGCATTGTATTTATAATTTTTTTTCTAGATGCTGACACCAAGAAGAAAAATCAGGGTAATTTGCCTACTCGACAAAGTCCTTTAGACGCTCATTTTCTACAAGAGGTAGCATTATATCACACCCGTACAAAAACTAATTATGATATGAGTACTACTAACTTTTAATTCTTCTTAAACAGTACTGATTTTATCATGTAAAGATACAGTTAGTTTTTCACATAGACACTGTCTCAAACTGTGTCTATTTGTTGGACTTCTATCACCAATGGTAAACAGAAATAGTGGGGTATACTTTTCTCTTTATATTAGGGGTGTGGGCATTATTGTTTGTCCTGTATATCTGTCTTTTTGTCACAAAATCTCTTATACATGTATAATATATTGGAATGGAACGAAATTTGAGAGCATAACTCTGTACTATGTTTAGTTGTGCACATACATTTGTACTATACTAAAATGTTAATTCCCTAAATCCGGGACTTAAATATTATTAAGAATGAGGAAGTTTGGTTGTGCAAAATTTCTCAGTAACTTTTTTAAGATGCAGGGGCAGATTCAGGCGGGGGCTTGGCGGGCGTGCACCCCCCCCCCCCCCCCCCTAAAATTTGCAAAGCATGGGTTGTCATCAACTTTAATAAAAAATACTTCGATAATTTTACCTCAAAAAAATTTTATGTTTGCTCCCCCACTAACCTAAAATCCTGGATCTGCCCCTGAGATGTTTAGTTATTTGTGGATTGTTAATGTTCTTTTAATGTAGATAGGAGAAAAAGAAATCAAAGGGAAGGATTAGTTAATTGTCAATGTCAGTTTCTGAAAACTGAGTGATCTACAGTCGTCAAAGCTGGTGTGATAACATATCAATATAGTAGGATTTTTCCAACAGGAAATAGACTTTAATATAAGTCAATATTTAGTGTATTACAAAATTTGCAAGATACCATGGTGATTTGTTATACTATATAGACATATAAACCCAAAAAACATCTCATCAGGGGAGCTTAAACAAAATATTAAAACTATAAACAATTCATTTGTTATTCCATAGTACATTAACTAGTAAATGATTTTAAACAGAAATGGTCATTTTATGTGATGGTATAACTGTATGGAAAGGAAAAGTCTATTTGGAATTTTATTCAGTTTTAAGAAATTTTATTTTGTCAAATTCAGTTCTATTATGATTTAAGGCTAGTATTTCATTTATATTTGTGAAGCATTTACTAATTATAATGTAGAATACATTCTGAAGTTTGAGTTGAAAGGTCAGAACTGACTGAAAGCAAAGTATATATACAGTTTCAAGATTATAATGAGTGTTTTCTGTCAGCAACCTGTCAAGATGAAGTTATTATATTGATAATATTAGTGCAATTGTTAAACAAGGCATTGTTAATGTTAAACAAGGCATTGTTAATATTTATATTATTATTATATATGAAATGTTGATTTATTTGTTTAATTTAATTTAATTTATTTTAATATAATATAAATAAAGTGCAATAATTCTATTTTTATTAAATATATTTTTGTATGTATTTTGTTGCTTTTATTACTGGCCATAATTTGCTTTTTTACATTTATAGATTTTTTAAAGCTTTGGACAAAAGTCATTGTAGGCATGACTTTGAAAAAACTTTTCAATTGACATCTACAATGAGTACTTAAAAAATGTTTCTCCAGTTTGACTTGGTTGAAACAAAATTTGTAATTTTGATGTTGGTGATGAGACATTATAAAGTGGGACTCAAGTAAGAGTCACGAGTATAATCAACTTCTTTTACAACACAGTGAATCACTTTTGACACTTGTAAATAACTTATCCAGCGCAGACGATGTCAACGATGCTGTAAGGGAGATATGTTGTGCATGACAATGCATTTAAAGTTTTTGGGAAAACCATATTGGTGAACAATTCTACAAATGTGAAAAAAATATAACAACGAATGGTTTCATGCAAACTGTGCCCTTGAACGTCGAAAATTTAATTCCTATCGCAATTTGTATCAGCGTCATTCTACGGACGCAAATTGACAATTATATATCTTAGCCCGGAATAGTTACAATTAGGCTAAACGTGTAGCCCGAGCCAGTTTCAAACATGCCAAAGGACTTGAACTTTGCAAAATAGCTAAAATGAACCCACGTAAATTTTGGTTTGCAGTTAAGCCGCGAAAGAAATCAAAATGTTTAGGTGATAGTGATTTTTGTTGCGTTATTTTGAACAATTGCTAGGGGGATACCCTTCAGATATATGATCTGATTGAAAATAGCTCATTTTTAGACACTATCACAATAGAGTCTTTAGATAATGAAACCTTGGAATATGAAATTATACGTGCTATTAATAAACTTAAATCTGGAAAGTCTGCTGGGAATGATTCCATTATCACAGAAATGTTCTCATTGAATCCAGTTTTCTTCGCTCCTATTTTTAAAACTCTCTTCAACTTTATGTTTGAAAATGGCTTTTTTCCTGATACGTGGTCGGAAGGCATTAAAATAGCGGTTCCAAAAAGTGGTGACTTAACAGACCAGAATAATTATCGACCTATCATCTTAGTTAGTGTTTTATCAAAACTGTTTACATCGATATTAACCGAACGATTACTCAGCTGGGCTGAGGATGAGGAAAAACTTATCGATAACCAGTTTGGATTTCGACCTGGCCGCTCTACTGTAGACGCTATATTTGTACTACATGGTATTATAACAGATATTCTACAACAGAAATCAAAATTATATTGCGCATTCGTCGATTTTCATAAGGCATTCGACAAGGTTATCAGTAGAATTCTATGGTACAAACTATTAAAGAGTGGTATAAGCACGAAATTTGTTTCAATCATAAAGGCAGTCTATGAAACTGTTCGTCTACGAATTTGCACTGAGGGTGAATTTTCAGAGGCTTTTGATAATTTCTTTGGAGAGAAACAAGGTGAACCATTATCACCTCTGTTGTTTTTATACGTATTATGATATACAAATGTCGTCTGTCCGTCTATCTGTCTGTCCGTCTGTCTGTCCGGCGTACACATGTCGCACTGTAACTTGAGAACGACTTATCCAAATTTCATGAAACTTAACATAGTTGTTTCTTATGATGGTCAAACGATCTGTATACTTTTTGGTGAAAATAAGATAAAAACTTTTTGAGTTACGGGACTTAGTAACTAAAACAGGTGTGTGTTTTTTTTCACATGTCACGCCGTATCTCAAAAACAATTTATGATTATTGCTTAAAACTTTACACACTTCTTAGTTATATTAATCTTAAGATCTGTATACTTTTTGGTGATGATTCAAAATTTTATTTTAGAGATATTCAAGTATTTTGTTAAAAAAGGGGGAGGGGTTTTTCACATGTCGCGCCGTATCTCAAAAACGATTTATGATTATTGCTTAAAATTTTACACACTTCTTAGTTATATTAATCTAAAGATCTGTATACTTTTTGGTTTTGATTCAAAATTTTATTTTTGAGATATTGGTTTGTTTTTTTAAAAAAGGGGGGTTTTCACATGTCGTGGCGTATCTCAAAAACGATTTATGATTATTGCTTAAAATTTTACACACTTCTTAGTTATATTAATCTAAAGATCTGTATACTTTTTGGTTTTGATTCAAAATTTTATTTTAGAGATATTGAGTTTTTTGTTAAAAAAAAAAGGGGGGGTTTCGCATGTCAGGCCGTATGTCAGAAACTATTTATGATTATTGCATAAAAATTCACACACAAGACGACGGGCGTATCATGCGCTCATGGCGCAGCTGTTTATTATTCTTCGTGAATGACATTATTCAAGATATTCCTATGGACAATGATAACGGAGTTTTTAATATCAATGGATATCTGATATATTTAATTTTGTTTGCAGACAATACCGTCCTGTTTGGAAAATCTGCCGAAACATTACAAGTCTTACTAGAAAACTTTCATTTTATTGTAAAAAGTGGAATATTACTGTTAATACCGACAAGACAAAAGTAGTCGTTTTCAGAAATGGTTGGCAACCTGTTAATAACCGCTTTTTCTTTGACAACCAGGAGCTAGAAATTGTAAATTCATATGTATACTTAGGCATGTTGCTACATTTCAATGGAAAGTTCTTTCACTCACAGAAGAGGATTTCTCAGCAAGGAGCAAGGGCACTTTCTTCCTTATTCGACACTCTCAAGCGAGTTTATATTGAACATAGTCAAGCATGTTTTTTGTTTAATAGTATGGTGGCCTCTATACTTAACTATGCGTCTGAAGTTTGGGGATTTCATCGAGCCAATGACATAGAACTTGTTCATGATCGTTTCTGTCGTTTTATATTAAAGCTTGGTAAAAATGTACTAATCGCCTTTTTACGTGGTGAACTTGGTCATCTACCAATGTTTATTTTAAGGAAACATTATAAAGTTTTGGTTGCATATAATATATGATAAACCTAATATTGTATATGATATTTATAACCTCCTACGCATTGATGCCTTAAATGGTAAGAGAAACTGGGTTTCAAATGTTCGCGATTTAATATTTAGTTTAGGTATGAATTATGTATGGATTGATCAAGAGAATATATAAAAAGTCGTATAAATGATCAATACTACCAGAACTGGTTTGCTATTTTGAACGATTGTGAAAATCTGTGTTTATATAGGAAATTGAAAAATGAGTTTCGTTTAGAAGATTACTTAAAATATGATTTTGATAGTAATATACTCACTAAACTACATAGTGGAACATTAAAACTGAATATAGAAGTTGGTCGTTTTGACAATATTGTAAGAGAAAATCGTATATGTATATGCTGTCATATGAATTGTATTGAAAATGAGTACCATTTTGTTTTAGTATGTCCTGCCTTTAGATCATTGAGGCTACAGTTTTTACCAAAATTTTATTGTTCATGGCCAAATCATAGAAAGCTTGTATTTCTTTTACAGGCTAGCTCAAAGAATTTAACTAAAAAATTGTGTAAATTTCTTAATGCGGCATGGAAGTTAAGAATACAAATTATTATTGCATAACAGTTGGAGTTCTGTGCTTGTTATGACCTAATTGTGTTGTTCTCTGCATGTTTACTGTCATTATATATTATGTTATTTTGCTATAGCATTATGTTTGCTTCTGCAATAAAATATTCATTCATTCATTCAATTGAAAATATATATTTATGTAAATTCA